TCCAACTAAATATTCAATTATAGGTAGTATTATTATTAAAATTCTGAATGTTGATTATATTATTTTTATCAAAGTCAATATCTTTAGACAATCTATTTTTTACCTATAGATCAAAGGATTATAAAAAAAAAGATTTCTAATTCTATTTTTTGAAGACAAATACTTGAACATAATAGAACAAACCAAACAATCACATTATTCTTTGCAAAATATTATGACAAATCAGTTGATATTCAAAAACAATCTTCTTATATACAACTTGTCAAATAGAGCAATAGCTATTAAATTTAGACAATTAAAATAATTGAAATCTCAAATAATATCAAAATTGAAATGAGAAATAAAAAACTAAAAAGTATAATTAAAATAAAAATTATCAGTAAAAAGATTAAAAAAACAATATAACTAAGCAACATATATATAAAACAAAAAATAAATCTAAAAATATTTAGTATCAATTCTTTTTATATAAAGATAAATAATAAATATAAAATTGATGTATTTACTTTTAGACTTCTAGAAGAAACTGAAATAAAACAAATAAAATATTTTTAAAATATATTAGACTTATCAAAAGATTTTTACTTTTCAAAAAGAAATTTATTAAGGACAATGCATAGATAGTATTTTATTGTAAAGAAGAAAAAATTATATTATAATATTTTAAAAAGATTAATAAAAAAAAAGAAGAAGACTTTATTATTATACTTATAGAAATAGAAAAATGGACAAACTTTATTCAATTATCAAATAAGAAAATGTTTCAAAAATAATAGAAGAAAAGAAAACATTACTGATAATTATATTAATAGATATTATTTAAAACTATTTATATCAAAAAATCAAATCTACTTTTAATAAATATGAATATTTATATTTATAATTATTTACGATTATAACAAAAAATTAAAGTATATATTACTCCTTATAAACAACATATTAATTTTGAGGTATAATAGATAATTTATATTAACACAAAAACTATCAAAGCTATTTTCACTTTATTTTTTTTTTTTTTTTTAACTGACAAAACCCTGCTATTGAGTTTTTATTTATTCATTAATACAGGCTTATATATGCAAATTTAATTGCAAGTCTATACATTTATGAAAGAGAAAAAACACTATAACTCAGTATTCTATTACTAGAAACCCTGTGACTTGCTACAGTCCACCTTGGTGGGTGCTAGCCTGTCAAGACTCTACTAGTACTAATATTAATTGAAAAGAAAAAGAAAGGAAAGTAGCTGTTGTTTAAGGTATTCTCTATTATAATATTTGTTAGTTCTATGTATAGTTTCCCAAACCAGTCCTTAAGATGTTTCCCAAGATCTATTTGGCCTCTTTCAGGCTCTGGATCTGACTTGAAGAATTTGATGGCCTGTGTTGTTGATGAGTTTGAATCCTGTGGTGTGTTCTGTCACTTGGCTGTATTATGTTTGGTCTGTCCCTTCTTGTGCTTGAGTTTTTTTCTTATATTTTGACTTTTTTCCCAGTTGATTGTGATATTATACCTGAGTTTCCATACTTCTTGCTTGGCTTGCCAGAATTTATGTGATGCTTTTCTGATTGTATCTAGTGCTCTGGTTCTATCTTTTGTTATAGATTCTGCTACTTGAATCATGCCATGTATTATGACTCCCCTTACTATATCCTTCCATTCCACTTGATGCCATGCTTTGATATTTTCATTGTACTCTTGATTATTGGTATTCTTTTCTATTTGTTTTGAATCAGTTCTATCTGTTTACCTTCTGCTCTTACTTTACTTTCCTCTGTCAGGGCTTGAATATACTCTTCCTGGAGTTTTGTTTGTGTTGTTTTACATTGGAAGAGGTGATTATTTGTTTCTTTGTACTGTTTGCAGATTTTATATTTGTCATCTGGGTAAATGTCAGGATGTTGTTTATTTAATTTGTTCATAGTAGGTAGTTCTCCCATCCATGTTTTGATTCTGAAGGAGCGGTCTGTGTGGTCTTTCGTATTAGTTGTTGTTGCTGTAATTTTGGTTGGCATTAGAAGCTTAAATGTCAGGGGCTAGTGGATTTCTCTAGATTTCTTCTGGTTCAGCCAGTTTTGATTCCTGCATAATATTTGCTATTTGCCCACTTATTCTTGAGGGTCTGTTTTGTTAGAGATTTTGTTGTGATGTCATATTGTTTTTTATTCCATTTAGTGAGAATGTTTACTGTTATAGCCATTTATGTATTGACTATTATAGTATACTTGGATCACAAGCTTAATTTGTAATTTTATTAATCGAAACTGTTATGTTATTACAAATGAGTAGTTTTACATATATGTTATAGTAAATTATATCTATATAGATAGCTATATACTGTATATATTTAACTAATGCTATTTATCACTACTACCAGTCTAACAACAAATTGGAAGCCTGTGCAATTCCGTCTTAATTATTTCTAGAACAATTTTTTATTAAGAGTATTTTAGTTATCAGGCCGTTGAATTCAGTATCCTGAATTCCAGTTTTTGATCCGTCGGAGTGATCTACAGATTTCTCCTCCCACCAAGACCTCCCGATAGTCAAGTCTGTGAAATCCGGCATAGCCACATGCATGAGGATTGGGACTGGCTTAAATTAGAAGAATCCTTTTCTTATGTACAAGTTTTTGTATGAAGCCATTTGTGTCCCCAGATGAGTTGTTTTCTTGTTTTGGTTCTGAGAGGCATGCTACCAAATTGGGGATCTACTCTTCTTGCTACCATTTCTGATAACGTGGTTGTGTCAATGATGATTCTATCTGATTCAGATCACAACCTGATCACAATCTAGATATAAATCAGATGCTATATTTAGAAACATCAGTTAGTTTACAGTTACGCCAATGGACGGATTCAATTCCTCGATCTGTTATGTATTTGGGTGGAATTGAAACCAGATCTTGTGATCTGACCTATAAAATATTAAATATTGCACTATGGACCCGTAGGTCTTAGAACTATTTTTATTTTATATAAGCTTAATAATAAGAAAATTAACAGAATTAGCAAATGGCATAATGTATAATCTTTGTAACTATATAGAATAGACAATATTATCACTAGTTTGATTATATGAACAATTAAATATATTAAAGTCAAATAATGTTACATCTCTAGAAATTTATATATACTAAAGAGAAAAGATTATATAACTATTTGTTTCTAATCAATATAAAACCTTAATAATGCTTTAAGACAATATATATTTATTTATAGATACATACTTATCTGAAATATTAAAGAATACTTTAAATAAGAACAAAATAATTCTTAAAAGAGATAAGGTCATAGTAAAGTTTCAGAATCTGATATTGAATTCATATAATCAGTTATATAATAAATCAATAGAATAGAAAAAATAGATATAAGATACAATACGAAATTAAAATAACAAATTAGATCAATAGCAAAATATAATTATGATATAGATACTGATAGAACAGTTATATTAATTTCAAAAAATAGAATTTATATAAAAGTTATTAAAAACTAACAATAAAGCTAAAAGAATTATTTACACTATAACAATTGATAACAATAAAAAATAACTTAATCAAAAAAAAAATTCATTTTTCTATTAAGAATCAGATAATAAATGTGACTTGGATATCAAAGATAAAAGTTTCAATTCTTAATAATTAATTCTAGTCAATTTAAATAAGCTTAACAATAAAATTAGTAAAATATTGTAAAATAATCATTACAGAAATCTTTTAAGTTCAAAAATAAAAAAAATATTACTTAATTATAATAATTAAACCAGTTTACTATAGTATCTTGAAGAATATGATTTTTAAAGAAAATCTCAGATAAAAAAACTATATTATTATATATGTCACTTAATAACATATATTTTTATAAATTCATTACTATTTTCTTTTAATTTTTAAATGATATATTAATAATAATCAAATCAAGCATTATTAAAATAAAACTTATATTAAATAGATAATAATTAATTTTAAAACAATATAATAATGGTTGGTACTTATAATATTAGAAATATTAATACTACTTTTAATTAACTAAGACTTTGAAAAAAATTTAACAAAAAAATATCAATATTTTGGATATCTATAAAATAAAACTCTTAACTGAAATAGAAAACTTCACTTTAAAATTTTAAGAAACTTATAAATTCTTTTACAATAGTAATAACAATAGATTTAGAAGGTCAGAAATAGATCATTTAATTAAAAAAAATTATGAAAAAATGGTAACATATATTGATAAGATAAAGAAACATATAATAGAAACTTGCTTCTTATAAAAAAAGTGCAAATTAGCAATATACCAAGTTTATATATCTTATTAAAAAAAAAGAAAACAGGTATAGTATCTACAACAAATTTTCTGAAAGAAAATTTATGAAAAATTGAAAGAAAACTTCAAATTCATTATTATTAATAACTTCAATACAATAATTGATCCAATTGTAGATTGATCTTTTCTTAATAATAAAGTATTATTAAGATATAAAAAAGTTGAGATTGGTTTATTTAAACTTTATTTGATTAAAATAATAATAATAAAAAAGAAAATTTTAACTTAAATAAAGTAAAGTCTTTTTTTTAAATAAATTTTTTTCAAATTAATTTAAAGAAAATAACTTTTTATAAATACTTTTTTTATACAGTATATTGTTAAAGAATTAATAAAACAATTCTTCTAATTTTTATTTTCAAGTAAAAATTATAAAGAATATTAAAAAAAGAATAACATATAAAAGTATAGATAATAACCATCATAACTTAAAATCCAATTATTAATTTTTTTATAAAATTCTACTTTATATTTAATTTATATACAGCATCTATAATTTAATTAACAATTTTAATGTTTTATTACAGTATATCGTAATTTTGGGGTCGCAGTTTTGATCCAGAAATTTTTTGATTCATCTTCAAAAACAATATACTGTATAATTGTTTAAAATAATAAATTTATTAAGGGTTTTTGTCTTTTTATTCATTTAATTAAATAAAGAGTAAGCTAATGGATAAAAAACTTTGTTTGAGCTTATGTATAAAATCATTACCAAACGAAGAACTATAAAAGTATCTGTGAGTCGATGATGTAATACATTTTTAAATGAGTTAATGATGCAACACATTCTTAAATGAGTCGATGATATAATGTGCTTAAAAAATAACGTATCCTTAAAAAAAAAAAGATAATACCTGTTCTTAAAAAAATAGCAAATCATTTATAATAAAGTTTAGCCTCAGACAGTTCTACGCAATCTTATACTGTATATGTAAAAAGGAAGGAAAGTAACAATAAAATATTTAGCATATTGTTTTCCTTGTTCAGTGATTCGAAATGTGAGAAAACAAGCTGGTGATTTTTACAAAGTATAAAATGATTTAGTATATTTACGGATAAAGTTCGCGAAAGGCTATTGCATTCTTTTATCAGTGAATCTTAAATTGTTGTCTTCTTCTGAGGTGTCAAATATTATAGGAAAAGCAAAAAGATTAGAGCCCTTTGAGGGCACGCTGCCCGGAATTGTGAAATTGTAATGGATAATCTTTTCTTAGTAACTGTATAACGTGAAGAAAAATCTAGAAGTGCTGTACAACGGCATATAGCGATCATGATCCATGCGTATAACTACTCAATATAGTTAGTTCAAGTTTAAAAGTTTGTTGTTTACCAAAAAGTGCACCATAAAAATTTATTAGAACCAGAAATACGTGTTCGGGCGCTAAATGTGACTTGACTAGATGAATACATTTTTCTTTTTTGATTTTTCAAGTTTAGCCTCATCTAATAGCTTCAACATCAAATCTTCTCTCAACATCCAATGAACGAACTTTATGCGCCCGTCATTCAAAATACTCATTAGAATGAACCCTCCATTGGAATCTTGAACTTCTTGTGGACCTACTTGGGATTTATTTATAAAAAAATGCACTTCCTCGCAATATGTATGCCCTGTATATCCTACTTTCAATCCTACGCTTGAACTTATTATGGGTATAAATGAGTAATATCTGTCAAAGGATAGACAAAACAATCTTGCGCTTTCATCGTATTTCAGATCTTCCGTGCCGATAGATATGTGCAACATACCAAGTTTAATCTGCAAGTGTAGAATTAGACGTTGAGGGACATTAAGAGACGCAAGGTATTGAAAAAAAAAAAAAGGAGATTTACCATTAGAAACCAATCAGCTTTGTAATTTTCTATAACATGATCTCGGATAACCGTGGTTATTAATTCATTCCACCTTTTACATGTCCTTCGAAGTTGAATCATCTTTCGAAAACTTTAAAATCTCATGAAAAAAGTGATATTCTTGGTGCATAATTTTATATATGAAAGCGTTTTGTGCTTACCTATTTTCTTTGACCATAACTTTAAAGATCTGGATCAATGATTCGTTAGGCAATTTGTCGAACACATTTATGGAATCTCGCCTGAATACAGAAAAAATCTTTTGAACCCCTAAAGGGTGGGAAGAAACATGGCCGATAAATTCCTGCTTAATGCGAAATTTAATTTTACGTTCAATTAGTAACATCGATTGAGGAATAATTTTCAAAATCCTTTGATTCTACCGCCAAGCATGTACAGTAAAATGCAAGTATAAACTTATCGCGGTTTTAAAAGATCAATTTTTACTATCGGAAAAAAAGAAAAAAAGAAGAAAGAACCCAAAATGTTGCAATAAGGGAGAAATATTCGTATGGTATGTAATAAATTGGATTCGTATAATCAGACGCGGCCTGCGTACCTTGACCTTCATAATGATTAGAAAGAATACGTGAGTTCCGTCGCATGCGTAACTCTCTATAAACCAATTTTTTTGTTACACGATGCGTATGAAATTGGGGGTAGGTTTTGGCTCACCCTCAATTTATAAGGGGTATATGGGAGTTTTTGATGTAAAGTTTCATATTAAAAGTGACGTGATCCAGTTAAGAGGCGCTTAAAGTCACCACGTACGTACTGTACTTATATGATATGATCTTTTTTAATTTCTAAATTTAGATATTATAAAACTCAGTTTAATAAAATTTTTATGTAATTGAAAAATTAGAAAGATCCTAAGCACAGTGGAAAAATACTGTATGTATCTAAGACTTTCTTCTATCAAATTCCGTTAATATCATCCAATATGGAATACTCCAACAAATGAGCTTAACGGATTTCTCATCCAAAATATCAACTTCAATTTTATCTCCATAGTCACATTGGATTTCTTGTATCCCTCTCAGCTTCGTGTAAAAGCGAAGACTTAGAACCCTAATTGTGGCCCCTTTATACTTTATCAACAGAACAACTCTGGAATTTTTATTATGATTGATCGAGATTGGCGTTCTAAAACGTAGATTAATTTGTTTTTTTAACTCGCTGTATTGAATATTTTCAATTTTGAAAAATTTTTTTTCTGATGCAAGAACCTTTGAAAAAAACACATCTCAATACGCAAGCCATGAAATGAAGAGATGCGGAACTGTTTGTAAATGACGATTTACCTTTAAGGTGCAATTTTTTTTATAGACTTGAGAAATTTCGTCTCGAATGACAACAGCGATAAGCTCACTCCATTGTTTGCACGTTCTACGTAGTTGAACCAACTTCTTAAAGCTTTTTAATAATGACAGTAAATATTAAAGTATGATGCATCTGAATAGGACCTCAAGCAATAAGTACCTTGTATGTCGAAGAACCCTTTGAAGAACGTAAAGAACTAACTCGTTCGGTAATTTTTCCATCATACACGCATTAATTGTGATTGACATGAAAGCGTTAATAGGAAAGAAAAGAAGAATGGATTTTCCTTGTAAAATTATCGCACGTATAGTATGTGGTTTTTAATGTCACGCGCAAAAATTTTGCCTACACGTATAACTTTCACAATCACGAAGTTCTACCGACTTCTGGTGTATGATAAGCTTAGACAATCAATATCGTTGGTTTTCTTGACATGCACAGTATTGCCGTCACCAGGGAAAACATGAAATTCGGAAGAACATATCCTTGTGCGACTATTTTAACACCCCAAAATTTGTAGCACATGAATGAGAGAACGAAAAAATTTTCGATGTTCTTCGTGCATAGATTTATCTGTCATCTCGCCATACGATGCTTAAGGAAATTTGTACCATGGAACGAGCAGTTGCGATCACATGTTTTGAAATATCATTGCATGATTTGCTAGCAATGTATACTTTTTTATTCGTCTTTGTTTACCGCCGGAAGCCGCACAAACTCAAAAAATCGTATTAATTTAAGCCTTTCGGGCAACTGACTTATTAGTCCTTCATGCCGTGATCTCCGAAATTCAAATTATTCGTTTGTGTAACGTGCTTTTAGGCCGTACGCGGAGATCACTATTTTCTCGTGCGCTCAATCAATTCGACTTCGGTGCCAAGATTTGTTGGTCCGCTTTTGAATTATTGAATGTTTCAGAAAATTTTAGTTTGAAAAATGATTGTCATCCGTCTGCTTCTATTCCTAACACGGAACTAGATTTGCATTCCGCTCAAATCAATATTTATTGGTTGTTCTAGCAGGAGAAAAAACAGTTATTTAGACGAACCAGGTTTTCTAGAGAATTTCACCTATCGCGGCTTACTGTAATTCTAAAAATTATATCCTGTATACCGTATATGAGATACATTATTAATAAAAAGGTTTAAACGAACTTGTATCTATACCAACATCGATGATACTATTGATAATCAAAAGGAGTTACAATCTATTATACGTATTTACTTTCTGCACATCTGCTTGAGACGTGACCTCTACGATTTTAATTGAAAATAGACAACCCATATTTTTTTAATAATAATAAAAAAATCTATACGCGATTTGGAAAGTTCTGCAATTCGAGTTTATATAAAAACTACTAAAATTTTTTATCGACGGGATTTAAATTTTATATAAAATAATGATTATCACAAAAATTAAATGATAAAATAAGACCTTGGATAATCTAATAAAACAATTCATCAAAAATATGAACAATAGAACAATAGAACAATAGACTATCCATGAATATAACAAAATAAAATAGAGAAAAAATAAAGTTGCCAGATTTTAGAGTAACAAATTTATACATGAAATCTAGTATGAGAGAAAATAAAAGATAAATATATATAGAACATGTCTTTTTAAAAATTTAATAAAGAAGTTTTCTTATTAAACTAACTAGTAATAAACTATTAACATTAAGCAAATTGACTACAAAAAGATCTGATCTATATAAACAAGTGAAATGTATTGCATGTAACTAATAGAATAAAACAATAGAGCACTTACAGTATTAGAATATTTAGTTTATAAGAACCAATTACAAGTAGTATAAAATAAAGGAATAGATAAAATACTTAAAAACTTTAGAGAACTTTTATAAAAAAAAATGGAAACTGAAAAAAAAAGTATTAAACTAATCACAAATAACCAAGAAAATTTAACAAATATACTATATCTCTAGACTAGTGAAATGAATCTCTAAAACTAGCCAAGATATTCTATTTTTGTGTTGGTGTTATAAGAAATTATCTTATTCAAGAAATAGCAGACCTAAAATATCATAAAAAACACATATAGAAAATATGATAGCAAGAAAATAGATAATAAAAATACAAAAAAGAGTCTGTAATCAAGTTTATAAAAGAATTTGAAACAAGGGATATAAAAAGATAATTTAATAAAATCAATTATAGGGAATCTATAGAAAGAATAAAACAAAAAGATTTCCATATTTTTTAAATTAGAAAACTATATTTACAATAAAAAGAAAATCATTATCAAATCTAAAAACAAAAATCTCAAAAAAAATCTTAATTAAAAGAGTGAAATATAAAATAAAAGGATTGAATTTTAAAGCCTTATTAGAATCTCTAAAAGTGAACTATAATTATGACCTGTAAGTAATAAAGTTAACAGTTAAAAAGATTTTTACTAAACTATTAATGGATCAAATAATCACTTCCAAAATTGTATTTAGAGTTTTGATAAAATTCAAAACATTTTTTTTTTTTTTTTTAAAAAACACTTATTAATCGGTTTATTTGATTATGAAGTTCAGGTACAGGAGAGATACAAACGATTTGTAAGACTATATACCCTACACTATTACAAA